AGACGGGGATGCTCGTCGTCTCGCCTAGAGGTGTAAAGTTTGGATTTTGTTCTCGCTTAGGGTATTCCAGGCAAAGCGCCAATATTTTAAGCCGACAAGGTCTCGTTTAGGGTTCTGCGAGGAAATACAGAATTGCGCGAAGAGAAACAGAAGTAAATTTTCGTTTTAACTTGTTTTGTTTACCCTATTACCTCAACATTAACCAGTTTTCTATTTTACGAAGTGCCAAAGAGACAATGCATGAACATTAGCGGTCTCTCTTGGGGGTCAAGATTTGCTTAAGCCACGCCCAGATGGTCTGCTTTAGGGGTTAAATTGAAAATTTCCGACTAGCATCCCCGTCTGTTTCATATGGGAGTCCCTCCCCGGGGTTCAAACACGACCGCGCGTTCTTTCTGACGACTTCCAGACAACTTTAGTTGTAAGTGACAACGCGTCAGTCAAAACAAAATCAAAGGGAAACAACCAGGCGCAACCTCCTAGACGGAAATTAGGTCATGGCCAGGAAAAAAAATAGAATTTGTTCACTGTTGACAGATTTTCAGATCTGATGTTTCGTAGAAGGGTTTACAACAAAAGGATCCTAAGTGAGACTTTTGTACAAGCTCATTCTAGCTCATTCTCATAGCCTTCTGGGGCTCGCAATTTAAGAGTCTGAACATCTCGCGCTCGCACTCAAAACCCTTTGAAGTCTCGGTTTCGCAATCTAAAAAGTCAAAATGTCTCGGGCTTGCAAAGAAAAACACTGGTGTCGCCTTCTCGCAAGGTCTCGCGTTCACCATTCGCCACCCCTTAAGTAGACTATATATTAAGTTCTCAAACCATTTAGTGGATACTATTGTCAAGGAGCCTCAGGCTACTTCTATTTTTCAAAGCTTTTTATTCATCTAGTTATTGATTTTTATGCCAATTTAACAAAACATCTAGTGCTCGATATTGCTTCAGAAATTTCTCGATGAAATAACCGATTAATTGATTAAACATATCTTGGATGTTTCATATCTGACATCACTAAACAATCATCGATGAATACTTCACAGTTTCTTGAAAGATCGATAAGTTGTAAGTTTGACTTAAATTAATTCTATAGTATTTGATTTTCTCGAAAAGTTCTGATGGCAATTAATTTGTTGCTTGTGCAGATCATAGGATGCCTAAACATTAAAACATTGTGACCGAGGTGATGGTCAAGTTGCTTTATCTTTGCTATGAGAGGGAAAAAATGTGCTCTTACTGACCATTTTAAAATATGCGCCTACCTTGAATTACAAAGTGACCTTAAATGAAAGATTTCATCTTCTACAAAGTTATTCATTTCTAAACTTACTTTGAAATATGAAGACCTCATCATTATTTAACGGATCCATAAGTTTAACGAGTAGGACTGGGATACAGCGTTGCCGGCTCAAGCCTCATAACCAAAGTCATAGTCTCTCTCACTGCTGCAGCGTCTCTTTCTGTGATTCCAATCCCGTGATCTGCACGTTCACAGTTAGTTCCTCCTCCACCAATCATCATCACTGATCCATCACCATCATCCCAGTCACACCAGAAGCCGATCTTGTCAGCACTTTGGATGTTTCCACTGCACTTAGCCTGTTGAAACCCATCTGTTGACTTGTACTGTCCGCCATATTGAACCGTACAACTTCCTAGACACTGATTACTGGCCCAAACTGTGCCATTTCTAAAGTCGCCATAACTTGTGATTTTCGATCGGAATGTTTGTCCACCCGAACAGTTACCTGTGGTTTGTAACAGAGGAGTGTGGCTGGGATCGTCACTACCCGTGATCTTTATTTCGCTACCGCTGACCAACCAAAAGCCTGTTGAGATCATATCGTTGTTCATTGAAGGGTTGTTTGTCGCTCCAATAGCAGTTTTCTGGTCATACCACCATTTTCCATTGCCACGCATCCAATTCTTGCTATCGCTGTTCGAGAATCGAGCGATGAGAGTCCAGCCATTTTTGTCTGCAATGAAGAACATTTTCTCACCTTTTCGCTTTTGATAACAAAGTCTGGAAAGTTTAATGTTATTTCTTCGTCTTTCTGGGATATAATGGGCATATCGTAAAGGATAATTTTTTTTTTCTTTTTCTGACTTTGAACGAATTTGGAAACGGTCTCGCCCTTCTTCATTCCTTCTTGGCTGTGGCAGTAAAAATGACATTTTTGCTGGTGACCACAATGAAAACATATTAACCGTTAGCCGTAAATTAGCCGAATTTTTTAACCGAAAGCCGCAGACAACAAAAAAATGTGGAGGAGCCAAAAAGTTTGAAAAAGTCTTGCTTTGATTGAACATGGAATGCACTTCAATGAATATTGTGGATTGATGTTTGATTGATGTTGTTTTTAATGAGCTTATGCATCGGATAACGCGCAGAAAGCGCTTGAATACTAAATGCCGCGGTAAGGGGTCAGCAAGGAGAAACAATTGGCGTTGTTTGTTGCTTTTCCTCCCAGCTGCGTTGGAGAATATGTTGAAGCTTTTGAACCACTTTTGCCATTGGTGAGGGAGATAATTTTGATTGTCATGGTATCAAACGGCGAAAATAAAGCGGTACTTGTCAATACGACCATTGGTTCAACTAATCATCCTTGCTAGTGTAGTAACATGTAATAATAGTTTTCTTTCGATCGGTTTTTATTTTTAACGGCTGCTCATCCTTTTTACACAACAACTGTTCAAACGACTTACTAAGTTTAATTCTTAAAATCTTGTTTTAAAATTAACAAAGATTCCTGTACCAACAATGGGAAGCTGTAACGTATTGAAACGACAAAATATTTACATTCTCTCATGCGAGATTATGATCACAGACGGCTTGAGTCTTAGCTTGCGTCTTTATATCATGACTTACGAAAAACAAAATAGACTGTATTTAGACCCGATTTTGCTTTCAATTCCCGCTTTGAAATTTTGGAAAAGCCGTTGTTATTCCATTTTTTCCCAAATAATGAGAGAGTTCTGTCTTATTATTAAGTGCGCCAGCCAGCTGGATTTTTCTTGAGGAGCGGATATTTACATGTTCAGCTCCATTGAGCACTTATATTAGTTCGGCCTGTTCTGAAGGTTTTACAAAATAAAAAAAATAAAAAAATAAAAAAAATGCAATCTTACCAATTATTTGACAGTCATCTCCAGTCCACGGATGTATGCAGGAACATGAAAATGTTTGGTTCATCTCGTGAAACAAACAAGAACCACCATTACGACAGCCTTTCATGAGACATCCCTAAAAGGCAAACATGTATTGTCGTTTAACTGGCATATTTAATTAACAAAATAGAGTACAACTCTTCCTGTTCAGCTGCAGTTGTTTGCATGTATGTAACCACTCGATAATTCATAGAAATCTCAAACCAATATGCATGAAATTGCGATGCTCCTTCACAACTGAAAATAACAACTTTTTTCTTCTTGTACGTGTTAAAAAAACAAAACAAAAACAAAACAAAGAAACGAAATAAAAAACAAAAACAAGGTAAAAAAGAATAACAAAACTATACCTTAAGCATCAAAGAAAAAGTGAAGCCTTTTTGATCATAAAACTGGGCATTTCCGTCGAGGATCCCATGCTTGCTCAGTTCACAAGTTCCTTTATCGTCCTTTTCGGATGGTTCTTCGAAGTTTGTTGAAGTACACCAGGAGTTTTTGAGGCATGAAAGACTGCATGATATTTGAGTGGGAGATCGAAACTGTTCGACGACATGACCATTAAGGCGCTTGTTCTCCTTAGTGGCGAATAACGCTGAACGAGAATGCGTCAAGTCTTCTTTAGCAAAGAGGATGGTGAGTCCTTGAAATAGTAAGAAGAAGAAACTTTCGTTGACCGCCATTTCTAAAACATATCATTAACCGGGTGAGATCGTTGACGCAGATGTAAATTTTATTAGAAGTTGAAACAGTACAACACCATTGGCCAATTCTTAATTATCGACGTTGGACGAAGAGAGAGGCCACATAAGGTAATCTAATAAATGAATATTTGCTAGCTTTCTGTGTAAGATGGAATCGACGTATCCTGTACATGTGTAACCGAGATCTTAAAGATCAAGTCAAGGCGAGATGTAAAGTGAACTACAATTAACTGATTTTTCTGCCATCGAGTCAGGAGAGTAAGAAAACCAGAAGCCCGATCATTTGCCCCCGAGTAAATCCTGCTATTTTAAACAATTTGACGAGAAACTTCTGGCCTGTCCTGATCTCGCTCGCTAATCTAGCTTCCCGTTTCCATTTCATATCAAATTTGCACAGTTCAAATGTGAAAAAAAAAGGGTCTCGCACGACTGATAGAAAGGAAAAAGAGACAATAAGGCCCAAAATTTGAAAAATATGTTAAGACATCATCTCGGCTCGGGACTTTTTTAAACTCCCAAGTCTTCAAATTACAGTTGATTTATTCCCATCGCAGACCCGGAATAAAAATTCGTAAAACTAAGAAAAGTTATGGGTTGAAATAATAATTTTTTTTATTTTGACTGCTGTAGTTTGCTTTCCTTGAATTTTTTTTCCATAAACATTTAAATTTACCAGCTGGTTTTAGAGATAATGTTGATCCAGAAAAATACACGATGGTGTTTGGATGCCTTAATTTGATATTCCAGAAGAGAAGAGAGGAAGTGAATCTCGGATGACCTCGAGAAAAATGACTCCAATTATTAACTATACTACAAGAGAAAATAACTTACAGTCTCATTATTTTCTCTGATCATACTGATTTTTCAGGAAATTAGAGTCTGCTTAGGGCTCGGACTTTTCATGGCATTCAACTTGGTCAACTTGGGATTCGTTAGTTTGTAACCATATCAAGTTTGAGTATGAGAGCGATCTTCGCTGCCTGAACACTAAAAATAAGCAATAGTGAAAATAAGGCCTGTTAAAAATACGCTTTAATTAAGTGAGAGATACGAAAAAGTGATCAGTAATAAAGCGTCAGAAAGCATGATTGATTATTTTCTTTTAATTCTGATATTCAATTTAACTGGAAAGCGTTTCAAAAACAATCTATTCGGTCCTCTTAAGATGGAATAACTTGATGTTGACATAGTGTAGCTGTTTGAGGTTAAACTGTTTTATAAAGCGAAAGCAAAAGACCATCCAATTGGTTAACGAATCCAAAGATTTAATGAGTAGGACTGAGAAGAACGTGAATCAAAACCGAAGTCATGTTCAGCTGAAACACAAAAGAGGCTTGGTTAGCTTTTTTAATACCAACACCGTGGTCCGCCCGATCGCAGCTACTTCCTCCTCCACCAATCATCATCACTGATCCATCACCACTACTCCAGTCACACCAGAAGCCGATCTTGTCGGCACTTTGGATGTTTCCATTGCACTCAGCCTGTTGAAAGCCGTCTGTTGACTTGTACTGTCCGCCATATTGAACCGTACAACTTCCCAGACACCGATCACTGGCCCAGAGTTTCCCATTTCTAAAGTCGCCATAACTTGTGATTTTCGATCAGAATGTTTGTCCGCCCAAACAGTTACCCGTGGTCTGTAAAAGAGGGATATGGCTGGGGTCGTCACTGCGCGTGATTTTTATCTCGCTACCGTTGACCGACCAAAAGGCTGTTGTTCACTGAAGGGTTGTTTGTCGCTCCAGTGGCAATTTGCTGGTCATACCACCACTTACCATCATCACGCATCCAATTCTTTCCATCGCTGTTTGAAAATCGAGCGATAAGAGTCCA